AAAAAAAAAAAAAAAAAAAAAAAAAAAAAAAAACTGTTGTTCAAGTATAATACTTTAAATATTCTTAAGTGTGTTTAAATATTCTTAAGTGTGATTTAAGGTGTTCAAAATTCTTTAGTGCAAGTTTTAAATTTTTTCAATGTAAAAACAACCCTAGACTTGAAACTCACAAAAATAACTCATTCAACCTCTTCTCATTTATATGTTTTCACAATCTACACAAGTATATAAATGGGTTATGCATGCCAATAATCCATATCTCCTCATTCATCTTCAATACCAACTCTTATTGATCATTAGGGCAAAAAACCTTGAGAAATGGCATCTTTTGCACCTACAATGAGCTTGGTATTGGTGATCTTGATGGGGTTTTTGTGCTCGTCGGATGCTCGTACATTCATCGTTGGCGATGAAGATGGTTGGATCCTTCGCCCCTCCGAGAACTATACTCGTTGGGCCGAAAAACATCGTTTCGAAATCAAAGATGAAGTCGGTACGGTAACTTCTTTCATTTTTGTTTCATCCTTTGATTATCGACACGTATTCCAAATTGGTTGATTATATATGAATTGCTTCGGCTCATGTTTATAATGCAGTTTTCAAGTACGAGAAGGGGCACGACTCGGTCCTAGTCGTGAACCGAAACGACTACGCCAAATGCAACAAGGAGAACCCTGCGAAAACCCTCAAGAACGGTCGATCAAGATTCGAGTTTAGAAAATCAGGCCCGTTTTTCTTCATAAGCGGGCACGACCAAAACTGCGAGAAGGGGCAGAAGCTCGAAATCGTAGTCCTCTCCCGACATCATCGTAATCGTACCTACTTGCCGACCCCTTCACCAGCAGCGGAGCCCACGGCCCACTCTCAGCCGGTCGAGCCTCCCTCCCATTCCCCTTCACGAATCTCGCCGGTCGAGCCACCGTTCGGTTCTCGAGCTTTGCCGCCTCTGGCTGAAAATCCAACTCCCTCACCGCCAGTCAAGCCGCCGTCTCGTTCCTCATCCCCATCTCCGGCGGCCGGAATCCCGATTAAGCCGCCGTCGCATTCTCCATCCCCTCATAGCTCAGCTCGTGGGATTCAGTTCTTTGGGGGCAATTTCGTGAGCTCTGCAAGCATCGTTTGAGTTGTTCGATTAATTAAGTCTCTGCTTCATTTTTTTTTTTTCTTTGGAAACTTTAGCTTCAGTTCATGTCTTGCTTTCCTATTATGGTTCTTGGTTTAATCTAAGTTGCTTCAAGTTGAGTTTTTTTTTTTCTTCACTTTTTCACTCTTATGTGGTGCAAAAGTTTTCTTGTTCTTACATTTTGATGAGATGATATTGATTCAAGTGCGATATAGCTTTACTTCAGTTCAGAATATTCTTTGCGACTCTTTCAGGAACTTTGAGTTCATGTTATCTCTTACATGAACCATCGAAGCAGCTACTGAAAAACGAATGCCCTCGACAACAAAATTGATATCATATTTACAGATTAGATCACTCAAAAACATCAATGGTGTTGAGAGAGATGAAAATATCAATGGTGTTAACCTATTGACACTCTTTCCCAACCGAATACAGATCAGATCGCTCGAAAATCAGCGAAGATCAATCAATCGTCCCACAGCAAAAATCTCTATGCAACAATTTATATGCATATCTACATAAATATATGTATCATAGATTATTTCTACATGTATATATCTATATATATAGTAAAGCAGGTCTAGTGAAAAGCAGATACATACACTTTAATAGATCTCTAAAAAGGTGCTTTTCTACTGAGCCCGAACCCCATCAACTCTCGTCTTCTCTTTCCTTATGCGCCGAGCAGCTTCTTGAATCCGAAAGTCGTGCTCTTTGAGCATCTGCTCTATGTTGTTTGATGTAGCAAGTAAAGGGCCCGAAAAGTGCGTTGTCTATTAAAAAAAAATTGTGGGAGTAAATAAAGATTGGCAGATCAATCTAAAACACGAAAAAATCTCAAAAAAAAAAATAAATAAATAAATAAAGGCTTGTTCCTATTAATACTCACTGTAACATCTTCTTCTTGTTTTCCTATTTTTTCTGCATTTCGAGAGCCACAAAATATCTGCGCCCTGTCCTGTTTTCTCATGGGATCCCCAAACGACTCTGAAAGACTGCCCGTTCGATTCGTGGGCCCCACAAAAGACGAGACCACTTTTTCCCTCGGCTCCACATTGCACGAGCTGTTTCTAGAAGGAAGAAAGGATGACGTATTATCGTTATTTTTTCTTCGGGATAGTGTCCAGCTGGCCCTTGGGCCAAGTGGTCCCGAGTTAGACACTCGTTCCTGGTGATTTTGCCGGTTGTCCGAACCAGGGGCAATTCTGTCTTTTTTAGGGTTGAATAATTCGTCGCGGCACTTTGGGTTCACATTGCCATGTCTCCTCTAAAAAACACGATTTTAGATTATTATTAGTTTAAGGTGGAATTTCAGCTTTATCGAGATTTCAATCGATCTTAATATATATATACCTGTATCGACCTAGTCAAGTCAGCATTAGCAATAGGTGCTGCAGCACTTTGTGATTCTTTCGATCTTTTATAATCATTTTCGCACTTGTGACCCTTCACTCCTATGGCTCCTTGTCTGCACAATTTTTTTTCATTGATAAGAAAATGACAAAGAGCTTCAAAAGTAACATCTCCAGCTGAAAAGCAAATCAAGTAAAACAGATTGTAGACAAATTCCTCAATGTAACTGCTTAATCCACGTATAGACGGTATAGTTAAAATCATCGTTAATCGTCTATTAAAAAAAATAGAGATATTCATACTTTAAGAAGAGAAGAAAGCGGAAAAAAATCATCATACTGTGAGAGTTGATAATGAACATGTACCTTCTTCGTGCTTCCTCTTCTCGCAGTTTTGCATCAATTTCTTTGCTTGGTGGATATTTCGGCAAAGTTGAGGGATCACAAGCAAAAGGTTCTGTGTTGAAGAACTTCAAGAAAAACAAATACAGTTCCAAATGAAATGAGACTCAGAGAGAGAGAGAGAGAGAGAAAAAGAAAGAGAGAGAGGAAGTACCTCACTCTGAAGGGCAAAAGAGGCAGTGCCCCGGTCTGAAGGGTCAATAGAGAGTAAAATCTCCATGAGACTCACGGCACTTTCCGGAATATTCTTAAAAGTTTCAGCAATTCTCCGTCTGTAAGGCTGAATGGGCTTGAAAACCGGGGAATGAGGCAACTTCGAATTTCTCCAATAATCCTCCGAGGGTGAGCCACAGAGTTTGAATATCTTATGCAGCTGCTCAACCTTCATCATGGTACAAAACAATTTCATTGAAAAATTTCATTAAAAAAAAAAATAATAATAATTCCATCCTGGTCACTCTGAAAGCATTCATCAGAAAAATCCCATGCAAGCAAATAAAATCATAGCCAATAGTAGCAAATTTTAACAGGATCATTACTTCATAAGTTCCAACGATAAACAGCTGAAGCTTCAATCATAATTTTCTTGATTATGATTAATAAATGATTGATAATAATATTTACCTCAGTTCTACCAGGCATAATGGGCTTTCCAGCATATAATTCTCCAAGTATACAGCCTGTACTCCACAAATCCACAGCAACTCCATACTGAGTAGAACCGAGTAAAAGCTCAGGCGGCCGATACCACAAAGTTACAACACGGCTCGTCAATTGAACTTTCTGGCTACAATCGAAATAACTTGCTAAACCAAAATCCGCAATCTTCAAAATTCCATTGTTGTCGATTAAGAGATTCGATCCTTTGATATCACGGTGCAGAATGCCATTACTATGGCAATGATCGAGCCCACTTAGCAGCTGCTTCATATAGCACTTGACCTAAAAATATAAAAAATATTATATTAGTTTAGAAAAAAGAAAAAAAAAAAAGGACAGAGTGAAATATTATCACCTGTGGCTCGGTGAATTTGACACCAGGAAGTGAGGAAAGTCCAGTGAGATCATGTTCCATATACTCGAACACAAGATATAAGCTGCAAGATGTTTTCGAGGTGACTAAGCCTTCGAGTTTAATGACGTTCGGGTGATCGAGCCTTCGCAAGATGTGAATCTCCCTCGCCATGAATTTGACACTTTCAGGGTCCATGTTATCGAAACGTACTTTTTTCAGGGCAACAAATTTGTTGTGCAGGAGATCACGGCCTTTGTACACGCTACTGTAAGTTCCTTGGCCAATCTGCAAAAAAAAAAAAAAAAAAAAATGCTATCACACATGAACCAAAAACTAATCACATCAGGACACGACATAGAAAGTCGAAAGCTACATAAAATGTCAGTAATGCAAAGAGGTTAAAAGAACAGTAAGTGTAGGGATTTATTTTACTAAAATCTAAAGGTATAAATATAGTTTTGACAAAAAAGACCGTTTCACACATAATTTCTTGCAGACTCGATTCGGTTTATCGAACTGTTCCTACAATCCTGCGCCTGCCTATCACAAGCCTCGCCAGAATATCAAAAGAAAAGATGATGACGAACAAAAAGGAAACAAATATTGAGCTGTATTCATTGAGAAATAGACAATAGTAAAAAAAATCAAATTATAACAAGGAGAAGAATTACTATTTTGTTTTCGACTTGGCATAATATGAAATTTCCTTGCTAAGAAATCATGCATGAAAAGACAAAGTGGTTGAGCTTCACGAAAAATGCATAAATTGGAGACACGATACACGCCAAAAAAGGCCTGGAAAATAAAAAAATTTGACCCCATCAGCTCACCTAGACGAATTGAAGACAAGTTATACTTATACATACGTATAAAATTCATCCGATTTAGGATATAGATAGATCTTCAGTCAAACAGATGGTTCACAAACAAGTTAACAGAATGAACCCATCTTCATCTGTTGTTAATCAATCCTCAGCACTCCAAATCTTGATTATAAACACCAACATGTAAAGTTGTACCCAAAAAATAAAAAGCATCTAAATTTTACTTTGATCTACTTTTAATACATATTATGACAGAGACTTTTTTTTTTTACAACATCCAATCCACATGTCTTACTTTGATCACAACACCCCCACAAAACTAATCCATAAATTTTCCACGGTGAATTGAGCATAATAAAAGTACCTTATCAAGCTTCTCAAAAGTCTCGGCCTTCCGTGGGACCCACCCTTTGATGGCTTCCCCTGCCACCTCAACCAGCCAAGACGGCCAGCCGGCAGCAACCTGTTCCCCTTCCACGGCTTTCGGAAGGTTCCGAATGCTCGGTCGGAAATCGCTGCTGCCATCAGAATCTTTCTCTCGTTTCATTTCGTAATAATCGTCCCTCACCCTTCTAGACCCATTGCTTTTCCTATCAATCAACCCAATTTTAACCTCCCCATTCTCCAGCTTATCATCCTTTGATAAAAAGCACTCATTCTTCTTCCTCGAAACCCCTCGAGCCATACGCAGTTCGGATGTTTTTCGATTCAACTCTCTCTGTTTTGGGCTGTCGTCAACAGCCGGTGAGGGCTTCCCACACACACAACCCATGATTTTCTCCCACAATCAAAACCCACCAAGGAAACAAATAAAAAAAAAAAAAAAAAAAAAAAAAAAAAAAAAAAAGCTAAAAGCCCTCCTTCACAATTTCAGAAAAAAATCATCCCACACTGAAACCCTCTTGATTCTTACAAACCAATCAAGACAAGAAAACCTCAGCTTAATTCAGTACACTAAAGGTAATTAAAAAGAAAAAAACACCAAAAAAAAAGGGACTTGAAAACCCTATAATAGCAAAGAATTTCAATAAACTCGTAAACCCCAAGAGCTCCAAGAACTCAAACGCTTCACGGTCAAGACAAAACCAAAAATTTCTTACCAGGGATGAAAAAAAATTCAATCTTTTCACCAAAATTGAACACCAAATTATCAGGGCTTGCAATCTCGAATAAGTCAAGAAAAGGGGGGGGAAAGAAAAAGGACTTAGAAGCAAGAAAAAGGCTCGGTCTTGAATAACAAGATTATATATTATGTTATCTGGGGGCATTTAATTGACTGTTCAAACGCGCTTGTACATGAGATCATGGTGGTGTAATCTGATATTCTTCATACAGGCATCTGCGTGATTTGTGTATATAAAAAGGACTTGTAGAAAAAAAAAAGGATATAAAACGATGCCAACTAACGACAGGTTTATTACTTTCTCTCACTAAAAACTCACAAAGCAAGTTTCTATGGCGGTGTGCGACTGTCTCTGTATACAGAGTCGCCTTTGGGGATGAGTTTGCAGGACCGTTTTATTTTTTTTTTTAATTATTAAATAATAAATTATAGTATTCCTTTTAAAATCTATTTCATTTTCTTCGCATCTTTAGGTAGGGTACAGACAAATTTTGTTCATAAATGTCTGTTTGACAATTTCGAATGGACATACTATTTCAAAAAATATTATATATATATATATATATATATTGGTATTAAGTTTTTTTATTTAATTTGATAATTTCTAATAAAAATATGTATATTTAAAAAAATAATATATTAGTCTAATGACTCGGTCGGCCTACCACAAAACCAGTCGTATAAATTCATTTTTTTTTTTTTTTT